GGACCTCCTAAGGAAAGGCCATGTGCTTTCCCCTCCTGGGTTTCCCTCTTTCCTGGGACCACCTGGGAATGCTTTGTTCAGAATAAAACCTGGACTTTAATTCGGTTCGATTTGGACTGGTCTGATTTACTGTACTGGTGGAGTTACCCACTACCAGAGGATGTTTTTACTTATCAATAATAATAGCAATAATTTGTTTAAAAGGCCAGGTGTGGTCACAAACACCTTTAGTCTCAGCACTCCAGAGAGTGTTGGGATCTCTGTGAGTTCGAAGCAGTCTGATTTATATAATGAATTCCAAGACACCAAGGCTATGTAGTGAAATCCTGTCTCAACTATTTTTCATTTTTAAAATTATGTATATGAATGTGTGTCTAAGTATGGATTTGGATCCCCTAGAGCTGGAATTAGAGATAGTTATGAACAGAATGTAGGTGCTAGGAACGAAACTCCAGACCTCTAGAAGAGCAACAATCATTTTAAACTAATGATCCTCCTTCCCAGCAACTAACTTTCCCTTTTTTAGTTAACTGTTAGATCCTTACTTTTCCTTTCCATTTTTTTTCTTTCCATTTTTTAAATTTGTTTTGGTTTTGGTTTGTTTCTTTGTTTTTCTTCTGGTTTTTCGAGACAGGGTTTCTCTGTGTAACAGCCCTGGCATGCCACCACCACCCAGTTTTTAAAATTCTTTGTCGTGTTAAACAAAATGAGATAGCTGAATCAAAAACTTTTAGCTGGGCAGTGGTGGCGCACGCCTTTAATCCCAGCACTTGTGAGGCAGAGGCAGGTGAATCTCTGTGAGTTTGAGCCAGTCTGGTCTATAGAGCTAGTTCCAGAACAGCCAGGTGTGTTACACAGAGAAACACTGTCCTAGGGGGAAAAAATTGTTGTTTTTGTTTTCTTTTTCAAGACAGAGTTTCTCGGTAGAGCCCTGGTTATCCTGGAACTTGCTCTGTAGACCAGGCTGGCCTCAAACTTGGAGATCTGCCTGCCTCTGCCTCCTGAGTCCTGGAACTGAAGATGTGCACTACCATGCCTTTTGTTTTTGAGACAGTCTCATATGATGCTAGCCTCCAATTTTACACAGTCAAGGATAGTCTTGAATCCCAGATTGAATCCAAGAACTAGGGTTATTTCTGAGTGTCACCATACCCAACTTTTCTGGAGTTTTTGACAGGATCTGACACAGCCAGTATGAGATAAAGAATGAGATCTTGCCTCAAAAAGAAAAAGAAAAAAAAGTTACAACAAACTCATTAGGATGTGTTCTAAATCCTAGTACTGGGGAGGTGAATGCATGTCTGTCTCTGGGAGCTTGAGGCCCACAGGTCTACATAGCAAGTTCAGGATGGCTAGAACTACTATAGTGAGGCCTCATCTCAAAAAGAAAGGGAAGAAGGGAAAGAAAATTGGGAGGGCTGATGAAATGGCTAATCGGGCCTGAGAACCCAAGTTCAAACCCCAGGTCCCTTAAGATGGCAGGGGAGAACTAAACTGCCAAAAGTTGTCCTGACCTCCACACCATCCTACCATTAAGCTCCATCTCTGCCCCTGACTTGACAGTCTAAAAATTTCTTAATGTAATAGGAAGCTGTAAAAGTATTTAGAAACATGACCTATGGTGAGGGGAGTATTTTCTGCTTAGACCCTGGGTTCAGTCCCTAAGACCAAAGAACCACCCAACCCTGGTGCAGCTATGGAGATAAATCTTAGTAGTAATAAGAGGGTGGAGAGACGTGGTAGCCCACACTGCTCTAACACAATCCTCCCTCCTCAGTCTCCGAGTGCTGGATATCCAACATACCTGCTTTAAGACTGTTTCCTACAAGAGGGTGGTGGCACAGGCCTTTAATCCTAGTGCTCAGAAGGCAGAGGCAGATGGATCTGTGAGTTCTAGCCCACCCTGGTCTACAGAACGAGTTCCAGGATAGACTTCAAAGCTACAGAGAAATCCTGTCTCAAAAAAAAAACAAAAGAACTGCCGGGTGGTGGTGGCGCACGCCTTTAATCCCAGCACTCGGGAGGTAGAGGCGGGCAGATCTTTGTGAGTTCGAGGCCAGCCTGGTCTATAAGAGCTAGCTCCAGGACAGGCACCAAAGCTACAGAGAAACCCTGTCTCGAAAAACCAAAA